GTTTACCCACTTTTGATGCATTCGGCATTCGCTGAAAAACGATAATTCGAGCAGACACAACCGAAAGATTGAGGCGCGTGACAGCATTTAGATCTATCTCTCTCCGCTGACGCGCTAGCAGAACAGACGAGATTTTTCTTGCGCGACAACAGAAGAACGTGTAAAGAACGGCGCACAATGTGCATCCGCCTGGCTCGCTAAACGAGGATACGTTTCGCTCGCACGATGACGTTGATTCAGGATTATTCTCCCTCTTTAATTATCCTGCCTTCCCTCCATCCTCCTTCGCCACCTCCGCCCGGCATCAATGCCGCCGTCTTCTCTCTTTCGCTCGCGGAAAGGGCAGAAAGTCCGGCATGCGACGCGATAACGAATTATCTTCGAGAACACGCTTCTTGGGACAGGAACCGGAAATATCACCGGACGATAATAGCGGTATCTCGCAAGAACAATTGCATTCCTACTGCATTCTTCCTAATATTTTTTTAATACTCCTACTTTAAAACCGATTAGATTTTATCAATTATCTTTAAAAAAATAACACAGACTTTCGAAGAACAATTAACTTCCAAGAAGTTCTTTTCGAAGAACACGTTCTAAGTCGAATCTCTCTTAAGCGTGCATTCTATGAAGTTTATCGAAAATAGTTTGCGGAATTTTTCACTACGAATATTGCAAATGTAACATGGCAACAAGGCGTTTAAAGATAGCGAATCAAGGACCGATCGGAGTCATCCTCACATGTCTAGCGACGACTCATAAGCCCGCATTACATATACAAACGTATCACGTAATCATCCGTATGCCTGTGTATGTGTGGCCGCATAAACGTAATATGCTCGCACGCCCTCCTTCGCATAGAATTCACCATCGCCTTCCGCTCATCACGCGCTCAAATACCTACTCGAAACGAACACGTTGGCCGTGAACGTAATCTTCGAGCTGCCATTAGTTCCATCAAAAGTATTTTATTAGCATTGTGTGCCTGTTGTACCGATCGCGTGCAGATTCCGACGTAATTCTTTATTTTTTTCATTTTTTTTCCCCGAATCTTGATTGGCTGAGAACATCGATTGTCAGAATGCTGTACGATAAGCAAGAACGCGATAGAACGAAGAGCTTCCCCACACTTTAATTCTGATTGCCCATTGCAACGCAAATGTAAGCGCGAGGTTATTCTTGTCACAATTATTTTTTACGCGGAATACGTGTCATTCGATAATCGTGAAGCAGAATTACAGGCGAAGCCTGATATTTCGCGTCACGCACAAGATTGCGCATCTTGCTGTCATTAATCATAATTATACGACAGTTTTATTTTTAATCGAGTACGCAATGGCGGAATATTTGCGTAAGCGAATAGACACGCTTCACCTCGAAAGAAGTATGCTCCGTTCCCTTGGCTGTATTTATCGGACGAATCGCGTGCGGAGACCAGGTTACCGATCATTACTGCCCGATTCTTTGTATCCTTGCCACACTACGATTGGCTGAGGTAAATAATCGACCGGGGCCCAACCGCGTTGCGGGGACCCAGTCACCGAAGATCCGGCCCCATTCGTCGCGACGCGCACAAAACGACGTGGAAACGTTCGTTCCGGAAGAACAAGTCGATGTACCATTGTCATTCTCTATACTCGACGACTATTTAATGTACGCACGCCTCTATCCCCGTTTCTCTTCCCGACAACGAAGCGATCACATTGATAGAAGCCTTCGTACACTTAGGTGTACTTATATGTCCACTTATATGGGATATGACGTAAACGCCCCATCTATCTATTCATGGCAATATTTTTGCGTGTTGTGCGCATCGAGGAGCAGCGAAAAGCTGCTTTTTCTTCTTTTATAACGCACATGACGCTAATTGTGTCTCGAATCGTTACGAAAGATTAAATTCGTATCTCTCCCAATAAATCATTTGCGATCAGTTTTGATAAAATGTATTCCCAATGCCAATGTATACTCAGAGTCGCTTTGACGAAGGGCTCCGATGTTCGGCGATGCGTAAAATCAGGGGCGATTAGTCGGAATGCACACAATTAGCGCTACAGCAGTTTAGTATGGCATTACATATCACGCGACACGGCTAAGCGAATAGGACGTCTTTCGTTGCAGATCTTCTTATAGTATCAATTTAGAAATTCGTGTTTAGTATAATGGACATGTCGCAACCGATTTGCCGGATTAATTTGTAAACTGATTCATTTTATTAATCGCTAAAGTTTATGCAATGCATTACTCAACAATTAATGCCCATGTTTAATTAGTAACGTTAGATAATCCAATGCAATATAATTCGGATTATTATTATCGCGAAATTACGAATAACTTAGACAGGAATCAACCGCGATTATTGAATTTTCGACAATATATTACGTATATCTGGCAAACAGATCCTTAATGAGAGTTTGAGAAATGTTACACTCATCGGGGTTAATTGGGGGTGAACCGGCTCATCTTAGACAGATGTCGAAACCAACCGCGAAGTTCAAAGGGCCGTTATCCCTTCATTACGACGAACTTTACGCGACTAATTTCAAATTTCTCTAAACCGATATAGAACGCAGCCGCTCAACCACGTTTAGTCTAATTAAATGAGCGTAACGCACAGACCGCAATAATTTCATAATAATCTCGAAGTATCTTCATACGAAATGAATAGCAAGTGCCATTATCGAATAAATTATTTCGACACAAGTTCATGCATAAACATTTTTCCACACACACACACACACACATATATATATATATATATATAATTCACAATTGAAATCGATCATTTTTCAATATTACTTTTAGATCTCGGAGTTCCGTTAAAACCGCGATGTATATATAACATCGCGAAATCGTGCGTGTCCAAAAAACAAAGGGCGCTGATACCAGTGATGTCTGTGGCCCCGAATTCATCGAACCACGAAAAAAAAAGATATCTTCCGCCCGGAGACACCAATAAGAGCGCAGGCCTGTTCCCCATGGTTTCGTATCCGCGTAACTTCTCGCAGCCATCGGTGCGCGAAATGTCCCCGGCCTTTGATGTCGAACATTACAAGAACATGAAGGATTCCACTGCGAATGGGAGAGAGAAATTCGAACGCCCTACCACCCCGGTGACCACTCGTAAATTGTCGCGCTTTCTGTCTCACCCCCCTGCTTTCGACTCGCCCGCGCAAAAAGAGATAACACTCCCCGGCGTCATTCTCGCACTTCAGTGAGTTGATCTCGGCAAGAACGTGCCGCTGGGGTGGTCGTCCCTCCCGCGACGTGGTGAGACTGGGAAACAATTAAGGGAAGACGAGGTGCAGGGTCGCCTTGTATGATAATGCGTTGTAACCTCCGGCGCACAGAAGGAACGGTATAGTAAAAGGAAGAAGAAGAGGAGTGCGTGAAACGCGGTTATGCAGGTAAGCGACTAGGGAGGAGGACAAGGAGGGAGGGTGCGGCTAGAAGAGAATACGAAGTGGATTGTCGGAGGAGGGGGTTGGAGGTCGTGGTTCTTACTTTGCATTCTTTTGTGTATCCTCCTGAGCCCTCCACCCATCCTGCCGCTATCCAGTTCTTCCTCTTGAAGCTTGAACTAACGCCCGAGGTTTTAATGCACTTGTCTACTCCACATACCGTTCATAAAGACACATATGTCGTCTGTTGAACGAGTGGGCAGGAGAGCCATGATCTTGGAAAGTGGAATGAGATAGGACTGCGCGTGCATAACTGAAGGAGGGTAGGCATGGCCTGATGAAAAATGGTGAAGGACAAGAAACGAGATGAAATGAAGGAAAGAGAATGCGGTGAGCGTAACGATATAAAATGCATTTTAAATTCTAAACGTCGACCGTATTATAGAAAGATCTCGACTTTTCGCATGCATAATCCCCGGGAGAAAGATGAGAACCCCGCGAAGAGAGAGAGAGAGAGAGAGAGAGAGAGAGAGAGAGATTAAAAGAGGAAATGGTTTACGATTTTTGTATGGATACGAAGTATCTACTATTTAGTTATTACAAACATTATCTATTATTCCGCGCTGTTATCATTGAATGCTATATCATCTTTCTTGCATTAAATATACTGATTATAAAAAAATAAGAAATATTCATAATTTTTAGTCATATACGGTTTTTATATATTACAGCGTAATGGATAAAATATGATATATGAGAGATATGTATATATATATGTTGTTATATAGAAAACATTTAAAATTATTTCGCAAAATATAGACCGCACCTCAAAAATAGATTCAAAACAATGAAATTATAGAACCGTAAAAAAGCAACGCCGCCTGTAGCGATATAAATCCAAATACAAAAGGTGTTTCACGTAGTTGTAAAATAATGTAGAAGAAAAAGAGCAAACAGAATAAATTTATAAGTTGCTATAAGAAAAACTCATCAAACTTTCACTGTATTCACTAACGATTCTTCTTTAATGCGAATATCGATAACTTTCTATACCTGTTTTTTGTCACGAGTTATGTAATTCCAATCGCATATAAAACGATCATATTTATATACATTTTAAAAACTGTGCTTTTTTAAACCGTTATATATACATACCAAATTAATTACAAAAAGTAAAATAAATAAAACTATAATTGTAATAATTTGAATAATTTGTAACGTTCTTGTCAATAAATTATCCTGTATTATCCTGCATACATTCATCATTAATTAATGCACAATAAATTATAATTATTAAACAAGGTTTTTATCCAATACTGGACCACAACAAAACGTTATTAGAAACGTAACGTTTGTAATCAAATTACAATGTAGTATTGGAAATACAGAGCATCCATACATGTTTTTAATGGCCAACTATAGCCGCCAAAATCATGACTAACGTTAAACATTCTAATAGCAACACTCGAGCTAATGTTATAGTCAATACTAATGACTTACATGTTCCATGGAAATGAATTAATTGCGGCAAAATCGCGAAACTCGCTCGATCGATTTCAATGTGTGATTAATTTCTACCTATCAATTTTACATTAAACTCACCTCTTGCGTCCCGGTATCCGCGCACCAACCAGCCCTCTGCTACGGCGTCATTCGTTAATCTAGACAGAAGAAGTGGAGCGTCAGAAACCTGGCCATAAGTATTCCCTACCGAATGGTGTGCCGCGCGTGAGTGGTTCTTTTTTTTTCCTTTTTCTTCAACATCGATACAATAACAATTAAGCTACGAGCACGCGGATAATACCTTCGTGACGGAAGCAGGCGGGCAATTTTGCGAGACCGTCTCCGGTATAATACCCCCATGTGGGGTCGAAGGTGTACTCAAGTGCGTTGATTCAAGGCAGTGCACGTGGGAGGAACCGGGAGATGCTTTCAGAGGCGGAAAGAAAGCAGGCGCGAGATTCGCGCTTCATTCATTCACGGATCCGTGAGGGGACCTTAAAAGACCTCTTCTTCGAGATGTAATTAGCACATCTTTCCGCGACGTGCGCGTAATAATACGGCTTTTAATTAGTATGCGTTGACGTATTCCGACCGATTCCTCCCTGCAACACACTCCTCGCACCCGCCCGTCTTCATTCTGCTGTAGACGGCGACGATAACGACGACGGCGAACTGCACACGTGGTCGATTTCACGCGCGCGTGACCCGCGCGCGTGTGCACGCCGGGTCGCAGCAACGAAGCGTACGCGTTTATGTCGGCGCATCACACGCCACTGCACCGCAGAAGTGTCAATACGCGGGTGCGTGTACGCGCGCAGTAAGCGAGCTCGCGTGCACCGATTTGCGTTACGGCGGATACCTCAGGCACGTAAGGCGTTTCTGCGGTACAAAGAGCCGCGACGAGCGTCGATGTGAACGACATAATTCGATGTCTCATCTTCCGCTCATAAATCGCTCACGATCGCGCAAATCGCCAATCGAGCCACTCGCGTAAATATATTGAAACTGGCAATCCGCGAAGATGAGGAACAATTGAAAATTGAAGGATAATTAGCGTCGCAATTTCTTCTGTAATTTCTTCTTCGATAATGAAAGTCCGATACTGATATACCGCGTGCTTAATTTAAGCGTTACAAATCTCAATCGACGGTGACTGCCACGATTCAACAATGAACTATGGAAGTTTGACATATCAAGGAACAAATCGAAACGCTTCAATTCACTAATAATTTTCTTATAGACTTCCAACAATGCTGCGTGCATTGATTTTGATGGTAAAGACAGTTTTAACTATCGCCGACTTTTAAACTTTGTCGTTCGTCACTGATAGCCCATCATGGTCGTTCTCGATGACATGCATAAGTCAGGGACACGTCGACGAAATGATAACTTTTCGTGCGATGTGTAAAAATGGATTATGCTACTTTTTACGATAGTCGAACGTGTGAAAGTAATGAATGTGAATAACGTTTTTTATTCAATTAGTTACAAATGATTGTAAGCGCACGATTTAAATTTTATCGAATCAATATCGGCCAAGACCATAAAATAAAAATGCACTAGTTTTCACGTCTCACAGCTTGCGTTGTTATCGTCAAACGCAATCGTGCAGATATGACATTAACGCGCGACATGTCGATCCGCAATTACCGTGCGAGCCTCCACTCGCATTCTCGAGACAATTGTAGAGGGTGACGAAGGACACCAATTGCTGCTGAGCTAGCGACAGAAAGCTGCACGATTTCCGGGATGTACGCTAATGTCTGATATTAGATCGAGTGTCGCAAGATAACTCGTATATAGTCACGCGTGATTATTCAGAATGGGGGAAAGAAAATTCATCGTGTTAGCTTTTATATCGAATAGACGTAATCTGTAACAAGCTGGCATACTCGATGTAGGTTGCTTTTTACGTAACAATTATTTCACGTGAATAAGACGAAGGATGTTATAACACGATTTAGTCAAATAGTTTTAGACTTTTTTGCAATTAACTACAATATAACTGAAGGAAATATATTAAAATCCACGATACGTGGAAAGAAACTTTCATATTATATGCGAGGACGGGGTAAACATTTTTAACGTATGTTTTATATAACTGTCATTAACATTTTGAGTGCCATGTCTCCCAATTCTGGAAGATGACCTTATTTACTCAAATAGAAACGAGTATTTTAAACCCTGTAAGAAACACATTCAAGATACCTTTGGCACTCAAAGTGATAAATAGGAAAGTTTCCGATATGCGTATAAACATATGATTATATATATATATATATATATCTTCGACATCTATAAACACGTTATAATTTCATTTACCTATACGAGGCATCAAAGAATTAAATATGCACTGAAACACGTTACATTCATTACGCGCCCTATCGAAATACTATTTTAATTACAGCATGTGGTGTACGTGTCGAACTCGGCGACGGTTTAAAACGCCCGACCGAAAAGTCGAGTTATATCCGATTTTGAAGCGCGCGATCTGTGTCAATGCCACGATTTACCGTTGCGAGCCTTTCGGGAATTGAACGAATATTGAAATTGCGGGAAACGCACAGAACTTTTGCATAATGAGCTGGCGGTTCACGCCGACACACGGACGTGCACGCACACCAAGCCCGGCGTCGGCGCGTACATGAATATTTTCATTTGATTGCGTTAATTAAACTCGCGCTGCCAGGCGATGACCTTTGAAGTTCAGCGGCACGCGGCACGCATACACCAATTACCGATATTATTAATTGCAATGTGCTCCACGTTTTCGGCAATCATTGAATCTAGCGAGTAGACATGCGTCTCAATCTTGAATATTTCTTTTTTCGAAAAGTATCTTATTAATAGTTAAAAACATTAATTTATATATATATAATATATGTATATGTATATATATGTGAGCATGTGTAATAAAATTCATATTTTGACAGTTCGTGCGTTTCGCGGTTTAATTGTATCAGTGCACTCGGACATATATCTCACCGCAAGTGATTGCAAAACGTTCTCGATGATGCAGTATCTTCCGCATGCATTGTCCTTAAAATTGTTCGCGGTTTTGCGGTTAGACCCTAATCCGCAATGTTGCAAGAAATTAGAAAAATTTAAAGGGGAATTCCTCAGTGTTTCTCTGATAAGATCGACCGCGAAATGACGGAAATTATTATTAATGTACTTACAATCGGAGATATAGCCGCAGAAATGTGTTACTATCTTTCGTGATTTGGCTTCGAACACACACACACATACACGTATACTTGTAAGGTTTGTTAGCATTGCTTGCACTGTTTGTACTCAAAATCTTCGCTTTCTTTCTTTTCTACGCGGAGAAAAATATTTAATTAAAATTAAGTGGAATTCTGAAAAATAGACGATCTAGAAAATTCTGATTAAATCTACTAGAATTTTAATAGATTTTACCAAGAAAATTCTGAATGTTAATTACCTCAACTAAAATTTTAATAGATTTAACCAGAAATCTGGTAGATTTAACAAGAATTTTGCATCGTTCATTTTTCACCAGAATTCCAGTTAATTCAACCAACCATTTTTCTCCATGTAGAAAATGAATATATATATTCTGGAATATATATTTACCTCATTTTAAGTGCAACATTTTTTGGAAATTTCAAACAACGTGAACAAATCTATAAATAAAATGATTTGCATATAGGTAAGATCAGTGCGAGACAAAATGTCGATTCCCGATTTAGATTATCACCAACATTTATAATATATTGTTTTTACAGCTATGGAGAGATCGCGCGAGATCACGTTCCAAAATTAAAAAGAGAAAAAGGCTTGCGTATTACATTCTCGAAAAGACTCGCTATAGAAATAAAACATAATACGAACCAACCTTATATAACAATATAAAAATAATCGTGACGTACAGAAGTTCTCTGTTTATAATAATATTTAACTTTTCCAAACATTTCAGAATGAAATCGATGTGTACTATCAAAGCTGTAAAAAGAGAACTCTATGTTAATTTCAATAATAATCGAAATATGCTAGCTTTATAGCTAATAATATTACATTAGATGTAAAACTCTGGAAAAATTTGGGTAAGCTGTCGTGGCTCTTCCTAAATACTTTATAAATTAAAACGATAAAAGTAAATCGATAAAAAAACTTAAGAAACGAGGAAATAAAAAACTACATCAATCAATGTGATCTAATAATACAATCCTAATTTAATTATCTATTTATCTACTTCTAAATCGTTATTTATTAATAAAAGAAAAACTATACAACTAAAGATGACCGCAATGATCGAAATATTCCGGGACATTAATTGTTTTAATAAAAGAATTGCGCGCTCCACAACATCGGTATTTTGACTCGCATTGATATTGCCTGTATTCATATTGATTTTAAACCAACGAGCTGTAAATTTTATTATTTTATAAATAAAATATTTATTTTTTATATTAAGTCACATCTATCTAAACTCTCGGAACGGGAAAAAGACTTATAGTAAATCAATAAAATAATAAAAATGATTTTCGAAATAACTGAATATAATTTTTAGAAAAATATATATGCATGGCCGGTATTAACGATTTTCACCGAGCTTTCGAGACCTCACACCAGCGTACCCCGTTTTGCTATGAGATCTACCAACCACCGCCGTTAGGGTGAAGTACTTACAGCACAATGAGTATGCAAATAGGCCGGCATTCGGCTACATTTGTTTCAACGAGCTTAGGAACGGCGTTCTCGCGAAGGAACAGTTCCTCCTTCGCAGAGACTATAAAAGTCTGCCCCGCGTTTCCAAATCTTTACAAAGCGTGAAGAGAGTTACTTTCCGTGCATTTTTATTGCTCGTTATTTTGCCCGTGTCGCTTATTCGACATTGTTTTCGTCGGCACGTTCATTTCACGATAAGTGACGCTACTTTTTTGCTTAAATATATCGATCGCGAAAGTTTCCTTCCCTCCGTGATTCACCACGAATGGCACAGTCCGATTAGATCAAGGCTCTCTTTCTTCCAAGTCTCTTTACACTTGGAAGATTTCTCCGCAAAGTCGAAACTTTGTGAACTTCATTCGCACGCATCCTACCTCGTTCACTTCTCGCCCGCGCGTGTCCTGGGAGATTAGGCTCGACAATTCAGACCTGACAAAAGTTTTCGTCTCGCGTCGTATAAAGCTAA